ACTTGAAGGTTTCCTTGCCTCAAGTACCACACCACGTTGAAGGATACAACTTTTGATCAAACTTATTGATTGAAAGGGGGTAGGTCAACTTTCTTACAAGTTGGTCTTGCAAGTCCTATTGTTCGGACCTTGCAGTTGTTGAAGAAGCGTGACCTTCGATGGAACAACAAAGCCAGCATGAGTGCAGTAGCAACATTGGCCTTGCGAAGATATACCGTGCAGAAATTCACACAAGTGTAATTGTTGGTTCATTATTCAACAACCAACTACATAGTGGATTTTGAGGACGTATAAGGATTACCCCACCTTCGAACCTCGTTAAAGTTTGCGTGTCTCTCTCTTTTATCTTTATTCTTACTTGCAATTATATTAACTGTGAAAACTAACCCATCCGTATTGATTACTGCTCACTCTACCCACCAAATTCCGCACACAATCTAAAGTTTACAAGAACTCTAGATTAACACTCATTTTCACGTTTTCAAAAGAAACGAAAAAGTTTTAAATTTGTAACAAAGTCTATTCACCCCCCTCTAGACTTTGTATCTCACCACTTTGGGACCACCATATGTACCCATTTCAAAGAGGAATGCAAAAGTCACCAATAACTTGGTCACAAACTTATCATTTCTGTGCCTCACCAAGTGGATAATTTTTTTTATAATTTAAAAATAAAAATTTAAATAATGAAACGAAAAATTAAATTTAGGTAGTTTATGATCAAGATGTTTGTGACTTGTAGCGGGCATTACTCCATATCAAACCATTCTCTGCACAGATTACATCAAATAGCCCATACTCCAATTTGCCATAAAACACAACTTGATACAGAAGGATTAATTAATAATTTATATTATTTAGTTAATTAGATAGTTTAATTATTTTTATTGTTGAGTGGAATTATAACACTCCTTCGAGGGTTTCTTTTCGGTTTTTTACCTCGACGCTTTTATTGAACCGATAGCTTAGGAACTAAGTATTTACTAGGGTTAGGGTTTACCATCTTCATCTATATATTGAGTTGTAACCTCTTTTAGATGAATCATGAATGAAGAACAACAATAGTTCACTCCTAAACCCTAATCTCTCTTCCCTCTCCTCTCTAGCTGTGCGGCTCCTCCCTTCTCCTCTCAAATCTCGTCTTCTTCCTCCCCTCCTTGGCTCTCTCACTTCTTCTCCCAAATTCTTCATCTCCTCCCCCTAATTTCTCAATCTCCCTTCTCTAATTTCCTAATATTTTCCCTTCATTCATACGTTCCCGTATCACAACTAGGATTCGAGGAAGCCTTAGGACATAGTTGGTTAAGAAAATAGATATGAGTTTGGATATCACATACAAAATTTAGAAAATACTTCCTCCGTTCTTTAAATCCTTCTACTTTTGACTTTGGGCAAAAATAAAGAAAATGTAATTTTGGTTGATTTTCCAATTTTGCTCCTGATGTAATGGATAAAAGTAAGATGTGATAGTTTGATTATTAGTGAAAAAGTATGATGTGATAGGTAGGGTATGAAAAAATAAAGGTAAAAGTGATTTTTTAATAGAAAGTGGAAGTGTTTTAGAAAATTGAAAAAAAACAAAATGTGAAGAATTTTATGGAACGGAGGGAGTAAGATATTTTGTGAACATAAAAAGAGATGAGGATTGATATAATGAGAAATGGAATACTTCCTCCGTCCCAAATTATTTGCCACATTTGCTTTTTCAACAATTGCGGGAACTTTTGTTTATTTCTACGTTTTCATTAGTTATTTAATAAAATAAAATATTCTTGACACTTCTTATTTTGAAGAACTTTTCATGTAGTTTTTTGATATGTAATTTTTATTTTTTATTTTTTTACCAATATGTAAATAAAATGAATTGAAAAAACTTAATATTTTACATCGATAATAGAAATGTGATAAATAATTTGGGACGGAAGAAGTATATAACAAGTCAACAATGAACCACAACTCTGTATCCACTTGACCACTTTGTTAGTTTGTTTTGCTCGATTGCCGCGTCTCCATATCTCGGCTTGGGGATTCACGTCATCGTCAATTGTCCGCATTAACTTGGTCTTATTTGTGTTACGTTGCAACTTGCAAATTGAGATTTAGAAAATACTCCATCCGTCTCATAAAGTCAATTCCGTTTCAAAAAATTTGCGTCCCTTAAAGTCCTTATCATTTATATTAAAAACCCACTTTTACCGTTTACTTTTTTATACCCTACCTATCACATCATACCTTTTTCCTAATAATCTACCCATCACATCCTACTTTTACCAATCACATTAAGGAGATTTTTGGAAAGTTTACACAAAAATATCTCTCTTTATTTTATCACTTTAGTCAAACCGTCCCAATCTTTATGGGACGGAGGGAGTATGCACTAACATTTTTTGTCTAATGAACCATCACTCTAGAATCAGACCTAAATAGTTTAATCCAAAGTTAAGTACACATTTCAAAGAGGAATGCAAAAGTCACCAATAACTTGGTCACAAACTTATCATTTGTGTGTCTCACCAAGTGGATAATTTTTTTATATAATTTAAAAATAAAAATTTTAATTATGAAATGACATATTAAATTTAGTTAGTTCATTATCAAGATGTTTGTGACTTCTAGCATTACTCTATATCAAATCATTCTCGTACAAATTACATCAAATAGCTAGCCCATACTCTAATTTTCCATAAAACATTCTAGCAAGCCTTAGGCATATTTGGTTAAGAAAATAGATACTCCCTCCGTTTTTAAAACCCTTCCTCTTTCATTTTTTTTGTTTTTCTTAAAATACTTCTCTTTTCTATTAAAAAACCACTTTTACCCATACTTTTTCATACCCTATCTATCACATCATACTTTTTTACTAATAACTAAACTATCACATCTTACTTTTACCCATCACATCAGGGGTAAAATTGGAAAGTCAACTAAAATTATACTTTCCTTATTTTTCCCCAAAGTCAAAAGAGATACCGTTTTGAGAAATAGAGAGAGTATGAGTTTGGATATCTCACCTACCAAATTTAGAAAATAAGATATTTGGTGAATATAAAAAGAGATGAGGATTGATATAGTGAGAAATGGAATATACAACAAGTCAACAATGAACCACAACTCCGTATCCACTTGACCACTTTGTTCGTTTGTTTTGCTAGATTGCCGCGTCTCCATATCGGCTGGGAATTCACGTCATCGTCAATTGTCCGCATTAACTTAGTCTTATTTGTGTTACGGAGTACGTAGTAGAGTATGTTGCAACTTGCAACTTGCAATAGCCTTTTTGTGGTGATAATTTAATTTATAAACTTTTTTATTTTTTCTAAAAAAGAATGTTTATTACTCAACATTTTTAATACTCCCTTCATTCTTTTAAACCCTTCCACTTTTGACTTTTGGCAAAAATAAGAAAAGTGTAATTTTGGTTGACTTTCTAATTTTGCCCCTGATGTGATGGATAAAGGTAAGATGTGATAGTTTGGTTATTAGTGAATAAATGTATGATGTGATAGGTAGGGTATGAAAAGTTAAAGGTAAAAGTGGTTTTTTAATAGAAAGTGGAAGTGTTTTAGGGAATTAAAAAAAAACGAAAGGAGTAGGGTTTTGTGGAACGGAAGGAGTATCTTTTTTAACATTTTTCATATTTTATTTGAAGTGAAAGTTCGATATTTTCGGATGGAGCAAGTATATGATTTAATATCGTAGGTGTTATGGTTTTATTTTTAGTAAATATAATACTTGCATTAAATTTCTTAATTGCTTACAAAACAATGTTGTCATTTGATTTTATATCTGTTCTTTCTAAATACTGTTATTTCAAATTTTCAAACCCATATCATTTAGAACACATATCTTATCATATCTCTAAAACTTACCAAATAGACTCTTAACTAATACTTCCTCCCTCCAAAAATTATTTACGGACTTTGTTATTCCAAATTCACGAGACTTTAGTTTATTTGTGTTTTTTTGTTCATTATTATATACTCCCTCGGTTCTATAAAAGTGTTCCTATTTTGACTTTGTGTAAAAAATAAGGAAGTATTAATTTGTAGTTGACTTCCAATTGTGCCCTTGATGTGATGAGTAAAAGTAAGATGTGATGGATTGAGTATTAGAGAAAAAGTATAATGTGATAGGTAGGGTATGAAAAAATAAGGATAAAAGGGGAAGTAATATATGCACTCCACAATTTGATAATGGCACTCCACGTCTTCTTCCTCATTCTACATGCATCCCTCACGCACATTCCTCCCCAAACAATTTAACAAATTTTGTACTCCGTAATTTTGAATATAAAAATTGTGTATGGGTTGAAGATGAAAATCTAATTAATAAATTATTGGAACTGAGAAGTCCGAATCCGGAGAAGTCCGGATTCGGAGAAGTCCGACTTCCGAGGAATCCGGATTCCGAGAGATCCGAATTCCGAGAGGTCCGAATTCCGAGAAATCCAAACTTGAGAAGTCCAAATCCTTTGATGACCGAATCCCATTCTAATTAGGATTGATCTTGATTTATTTGTTTCCTAGTTTGATTATGATTTGTTTCCTTGCAGGATTTGTATTCCTTGTCTATTTTGGAATCATCCTCTCCTATAAATAAAGGAGAAACCCCTTGTAACTAAATAGAACAATTGAATATACAGAATATTTTCCCTCTTATTATTTTGTACATGGTATCGGAGCCTCGTTGACCAAAAGGTCACGGGTTCGAAACTCAGCGCTACCCAGTTTAAAAAAATTATGGTTTCACGTGCAAGGCTTGAAAAAGACTACGCTTGCACGTGAAGGGGGCGTGTTAGAATATAAATAACTGTTCCTGGGCCACAACCACAAGCTTGAGCTTTTGGTTGAATTGGTTCTTTGACATGGTATCAGAGCTTTTGGTTGAATTGGTTCTTTGATATTGGAACTGAGAAGTCCGGATCCGGAGAAGTCCGGATCCGGAGAAGCCTTCAAGACCCACCGGGTTACGTTCCTCCTCTTGAGTAGTCTTCAAGACCCCTTCCTGCTGGATGATGGTGGAGTATACGCGATTCAGTGGTGGCAAGGGTTCTGTGGCGATGATGTTAGACCGTAGACTCCCATATCCTTCGTTATCTAATCCCATCAGAAATTGGTGAACCTTTTCTTTGTCACGTTGGATGACAAGCGCTTTGCTTATCCCACACTTGCATCCATGGCACTTGCAAGCGGGGATTTTTTCATGATCGCCGAGTTCGTCCCATATGGTTTTTAATTTTCCAAAGTACGTAACGATGGACTGACCGTTTTGCTTGCAATTTGCAAGTTCCTTCTTCAGTTGATGAATTCGAGGACCGTTTGCAACAGAGAAACGATCTTGGATATCCTTCCATAGTTCTGCTGCTTCTTCTACCTGTGTGATGGAGTTTCTCAGGCTGCCATCAATTGTGTTGTAAATCCATGAGACCAACATGGCATTCACAATCCACCATTCTTCATAGTTTTCATCTCCCTCTTCTGGACAAGGGATGGATCCGTCGATGAATCCAATTTTCCGTTTTGCACGGAATGCAATTCTCATTGCACGAGCCCATTCTTCATAATTATCACCGTTTAGTTTGACTTGGGTGATAATTAATCCAGGTGTGTCTGCGTTCTTGAGTTCGTAAGAACTTCCCTTCGTAGGGATCTTC